TGTGCACAGACTACACTCCCTCTGGGCCTTCTTGAAAAGTACTCAAATTCCTTGAAATTATGAGTGATATTCCTACCAGAGCCAGTCACCCATAGCATCAATTCTGCTTGCACATGCCTGTGTATATGTGAACACAAAAAGGGGAGATGGAAGACAAAGGAGATAGCTCATAAGGCAGGGGTAGGCAACCTACGGCACTAGTGCCATGCACGGCACTCAAGGTGTCTTTGCACGGCACTCAAGGCTGCTAGAGCCAAACAGGCTCTGGCCTATCAGAAGTCCCAGTGAAACTTCAGATATCTGCTAATACGAAAAGGTGGTGAAGGACAATCCTCAATTTATGCATTGCAGCACATAGAGGAAGTGATCTCACATCACTTCCTCCAAGCACTTGTGAATGGGAATCCACACTGTAGTAGAGCAGCCTGTAGCTGCTGTTACTGCTCCTGTCCTTGACCTGTACCTGGCCAGCCTGGTCCCCACTGGAACCCAGGGAAGCCAGCCACACTGCTAGATATACACAGAAATGCAGAATAACCCTCCCCTTATACAAATAATAAGAACAGCCCACACACAAACATACACACAATCCGCACAAACATAACCTGCTAACAATCCACATACATGCACACAACCCCACATGCAGCCTCTCACATGCAATACCCAAAACAACCCACACACACTACCAAACACACAATGTGACATATCCACACACAATTCCACAAGCAGCCCTCATACACAGCCCACATGTATATGTATCATACACGATACCATAAACTACTAATGAACAAATTCAATCTAATAGCTCATATACACACAAATACAATTATACAAAGCAATTACAGTTTAAATAACAGAAGCAGAATACGGCAACATACACACGTCAATTAAAAAAAAAAAAATAGGATCGGCACACTATGGGACATCACAATCCTATATCGGCACAGTGCTGCTAAAAGGTTGCCTACCCCTGTCATAGGGTAACACCGTTTAAAATCAAGAGGTGCACATTGAACCAAAATATCCATTGATAAAGCCAAAAGAGTGTTGAAATAGGTTTTTTGCCATAGCATAAAGGGTCAAACATGGACTGACAAGATTCCAAAGAACCTCGGAATACAAGAAATTGAATGTTGAGTGTCAAACTGCTTCTACTGTTTCGTAACTGGCAGAATGCTTAACAGTGTCCATGTACCTCACAGTCAGCAGACACATTCCAGCCAATCAGCAGCAGACCCTCCCTCCCAGACCCTCCCACCTCCTGGACAGGTCTCTAAGAATGCAGCTTCACAATGAATGTAAAATGGATGCTGTCCAGGAGGTGGGAGGGTCTGGGAGAGAGGGTCTGCTGCTGATTGGCTGGAATGTGTCTGCTGACTGTGACGTACAGGGTCAAAGTTTACTCAATGATGAGTCCGTGGCGAACCATTCGCGAACCGTTCGGCGAACCGTTCGGCGAACCGTTCGGGACATCACTATTCCCCATCCCATTTTTGTGTTTACATATACACGGGCATGTGCAACGAGAATTAATGCTACAGGTAACTGGCTCTGGAAGGACTTTTTGAAGGACCCATAATGAGCAATTTAAAGAAAGCCCAGAGGGAGTGTGGTCTCAGTGTATTATTTTACTTATTCAGTTGCATATATATGTTAGAGGTATTTTGCTAAGGTGGGACTGTTGCCCCTAGTGGAGTTGGATCTATCAGACAGTTTATTATCTTGCTTGTACCCATTAACCCCTTAATGATGCTTGAAGGAAATTTTCTGTCGAGGCAGACCTACCGTTAAGGACGCATGACGGAAATTTTCTGTCATTTAATAAAGTTAACCCCAGATCACGGCGACCATGCTGCAGGGACTATTGATCCGCCTCCCTGTGCTTCCGCGTTCAGTGTGAAGTGCCGGGAAACGGATCAGCAGTGATCTTCTCCCTGTGTGAACAAACGAAAGTTAGTTTAAAATTCCCCCCTCCTTTACCCATTTAAAATAAAAATTAACCCCTTCCCTTACAATTGATCACTGACATCAGTGATCAATTGGCAGGGACTACATTTTACTGTGATCTGATTATTTTTTTTTATCCCCTGAGGCTTAACTTTTATTATTTTTTTTAACCCTCAGGGGTTATATTTATTTTATAACTTAATTAAAATATTTTAAAATATATATATATTTAGC